ACTTAATTCTGAAGAAGAAAGAAAATAATATTAAATAGTATTTGTTTGTATCTGAATAATAAATAATTCAATAAATCTACTTCTTGTGTTATTTATTTCTTCTTTATTTGTCAGTTCAATAGAAAAAATATGTTTATAACTAATTTGATTTAGGATTTGTTATCTTATTGCTTAACCATTCATTATAACAATTTAACTATTCGTAATATAATTCATTATAATTAGTTTCTCTTGAATAAATAATTCTTATATTAATTAGTATACATGTTCTATACTGATAAATTAAAATATTATCAACACATAATATCACCACTATTCTACTAATCATTATTATTAGAACTTAATGAATTATTTGTCAAAAAAAAACGATTAATTTTTAAACAATGTTATTCATTAAATAAAAACTGATATAAATTAATGTTAATAATGAAATGTAGAAATAATTAAGATAACATTGTTATTCAATTCATAGTAATAAAATACTTGAATATTATAATGAATTTAAATTGCAATAAAATACATAACACATTAAAAACAAGAAAGGTTTAATTTTGTATATATTCAGTTCTAATACAGTAATTGGAAAACCTCCTTCTAATTCAAATATACTAGAAATAAATCTTATATTAAAGTCATTAAGACATTCACTTCTCAATACCCATAAGTCCAGCAGACGTGTATCTCATTTAAACCTTATCCCTTTTAATTTTATTCTGTGTATATTATCTTACTAATCCAAACTCTTACCCTGTCACATTTCTTTTGTTATGTTGAATAGTAGGTTATTTTTTATTTATTTTCTTGTTCATTCTTTTGGCTTGTTTTATGCAATGTCATAACATCACTCTAACGATTAGGAGAAGATAAGACATAGAAAAAGAAGAATGAGGGGAAAGAATTAAAGGAAAGGTAAAGAGATAAATCAAGAATATAAAGAGAAAAGAGAAGAACAGAAAGTTGAAAAAGAGAAAAAAAGATAAATAATGAGATAGCACCACGTCAATAAAAGAAAAAGAAAAAAAGAGAACTAAGAAACATAGATCAATACATTTCTTACGTGGTTGTATTTTAGAAATATAAGCTCCGTTGAAATGTTAGAAAAAGAAGGGAATCTACACAAATATGTTTAGACATATTTGTTTGTCAACCCATTATATTTTTTAGAAAAAGAATAAAAATACATAAAAAGTAACTCATAAATATAGAAAGAAAAGAATGATAAATATTTCCACTTTACTTTTATTTTTTACTTTTGTTAAAAGGATTTATAGTTTGTGATAATCAGTTTTTTTATAATTACAAAATAATGAGTATCATAAAAATTCAATTCAATCAATATGCTTGGAACACAGGGAAACCAATAGATCCCCCTTTGACTTTTACTTGGATTTGAGTGATATTATCAGAACCTTCATAAATAC